CTGACCACGACACTGACATGATACCAACCATGATACAGGCCATGATACTGACCACAGCACTGACATGATACCAACCATGATACAGGCCATGATACTGACATGTTACTGACCATAATACTGTATTTATACTAACATGTAACTGACATGAAAGTAACATGATACAAACCATGATGATGACATGATACTAACCATGATACTGAACATGATACTAACATGATACTATCCATGATACCGACCATGATAGTGACATTTTCCTAACATGATACTAACCATGATACTTACATGATCCTGACATGTTCCTGACCATGATACTAATATGATACTTACCATATTCCTGACAATGATCCTGACCACGACACTGACATGATACTAACCATGATACTGGCCATAATACTGACATGTTACTGACCATAATACTAACATGATGCTTACCATAATACTGATTTGACACTAACATGTAACGGACCATGAAACTAACATGATTCAAACCATGATGATGACATGATACTAACCATGATACTGAACATGAAACTACCATGATAGTGACATGTTTTTAACATGATACTAACCATGATACTTACATGATCCTGACATGTTACTGACCATGATACTAACATGATACTGACCATAATACTGATATAATACTGACATGTTTCCGACCACGACACTGACATGATACCAACCATGATACTGAAATGTTTCTTAACCATGATACTTACATGATACTGACATGATAAAAACCATGATACTGACCATAATTCTGACATATTTCTGACCATGATACTATCCATGATACTGACCATGATAGTGACATGTTACTAACATGGTACCAACCATGATACTTACATGATCCTGACATGTTACTGACCATGATACTGACATGATACTGACATGTTCCTGACCATGTTACTAATATGATACTTACCATATTCCTGACAATGATCCTGACCACGACACTGACATGATACTGGCCATGATACTGACATGTTACTGACCATAATACTAACATGATGCTTACCATAATACTGATTTGACACTAACATGTAACTGACCATGAAACTAACATAATACAAACCATGATAATGACATGATACTAACCATGATACTGAAAATGATACTACCATGATACTGACCATGATTGTGACATGTTTCTAACATGATACTAACCATGATACTTACATGATCCTGACATGTTACTGACCATGATACTAACATGATACTAACCATAATACTGATTTGATAATGACATGTTATTAACCATGACACTGACATGATACTGACATGTTACAGACCATGATACTAACATGATACTGACCTTAATACTGATATAATACTGACATGTATCTGACCACGACACTGACATGATACTAACCATGATACTGACATGTTACTGACCATGATACTTACATGATACTAACCATAATACTGATTTTATACTAACATGTAGCTGAACATGAAGCTAAAATGATACAAACCATGATAATGACATGATACTAACCATGATACTGAACATGATACTAACATGATACTATCCATGATACTGACCATGATAGTGACATGTTACTAACATGATACTACCATGATACTTACATGATCCTGACATGTTACTGACCATGATTCTAACCATGATACTGACCATCATACTGACATGTTATTGACCATGATACTAACATGATACTGACCATGATAATGACATGTTACTGACTATGATACTAACATGATACTGACCATGATATTGACATGTAACTGACCATGATACTGACATGTTACTAACCTTGATACATCCATGATACTGTCCATAGTACTCACATGTTACTGACCATGATCCTAACATGATACTGACCATGATATTGACATGTTATTGACCATGACACTGACATGATACTGACCATGATACTAACATGATACTTACCATTATACTGACATGTAACTGACCATGATACTAACCATGATACTGACCATGATACTGACATGGTACTGACTATAATACTAACATGATTCTGACCATGATATTGACATGTAACTGACCATGACACTGGCATGATACTTACCATGACACTGACATGTTACTGACCATGATACTAACCATAATACTGATATAATACTGACATGTTACTAACCATGACACTGACATGATACTGACCATTATTCTAACATGATACTGACCATTATACTGGCACGGGCTAACCATGATACTGACCCTGATACTGACATGATACTAACCATGATACTGACCATGATACTGACATGTTACTGACTATAATACTAACATGATACTGACCAAAATATTGACATGTAACTAACCATGATACTAACATGATTCGAAGCATAATATTGACATGATAATGACATGATACTGACCATGACACTGGCATGATACTTACCATGACACTGACATGTTACTGACCATGATTCTAACCATGTTACTGACCATCATACTGACATGTTATTGACCATGATACTAACATGATACTGACCATGACAATGACATGTTACTGACTATGATACTAACATGATACTGACCATCATACTGACATGTTATTGACCATAGTACTCACATGTTACTGACCATGATCCTAACATGATACTGACCATGATATTGACATGTTACTGACCATGACACTGACATGATACTGACCATGATACTAAGATGATACTAACCATTATACTGACATGTTACTGACCATGATACTAACCATGATACTGACCATGATACTGACATGTTACTGACTATAATACTAACATGATTCTGACCATGATATTGACATTTAACTGACCATGATACTAACATGATACGAACCATAATACTGATATGATAATGACTTGTTACTGACCATGACACTGGCATGATACTTACCATGACACTGACATGTTACTGACCATGATACTAACCATAATACTGATATAATACTGACATGTTACTAACCATGACACTGACATGATACTGACCATTATTCTAACATGATACTGACCATTATACTGGCACGGGCTAACCATGATACTGACCCTGATACTGACATGATACTAACCATGAAACTGACCATGATACTGACATGTTACTGACTATAATACTAACATGATACTGACAAAAATATTGACATGTAACTAACCATGATACTAACATGATTCGAACCATAACATTGACATGATAATGACATGTTACTGACCATGACACTGGCATGATACTTACCATGACACTGACATGTTACTGACCATGATTCTAACCATGATACTGACCATCATACTGACATGTTATTGACCATGATACTAACATGATACTGACCATGATAATGACATGTTACTGACCATAGTACTGACATGTTACTGACCATGATCCTAACATGATACTGGCCATGATATTGACATGTTACTGACTATAATACTAACATGATTCTGACCATGATATTGACATTTAACTGACCATGATACTAACATGATACTGACCATCATACTGACATGTTATTGACCATAGTACTCACATGTTACTGACCATGATCCTAACATGATACTGACCACGATATTGACATGTTACTGACCATGACACTGACATGATACTGACCATGATACTAACATGATACTTACCATTATACTGACATGTTACTGACCATGATACTAACCATGATACTGACCATGATACTGACATGTTACTGACTATAATACTAACATGATTCTGACCATGATATTGACATTTAACTGACCATGATACTAACATGATACGAACCATAATACTGATATGATAATGACATGTTACTGACCATGACACTGGCATGATACTTACCATGACACTGACATGTTACTGACCATGATACTAACCATAATACTGATATAATACTGACATGTTACTAACCATGACACTGACATGATACTGACCATTATTCTATTATTATACTGTCACGGGCTAACCATGATACTGACCCTGATACTGACATGGTTCTAACCATGACACAAACCATGATACTGTCCATGGTACTCACATGTTACTGACCATGATACTAACACAATACTGACCATGATACTGACATGTTACTGACCGTGACACTGACATGATACTGACCATGATACTAACATGATGCTTACCATAATACTGATATAATTCTAACATGTTACTGACCATGATTCTAACATGATTCTAACCATGGTCCTGACCATGATAGTGACATGTTACTAACATGATATTAACCATGATACTGACCATGATACAAACTATGATACTGTCCATGATACTGACATGTTACTTACATGATACTAACCATAACACTGATATGATACTGACATCTTACTTTCCATGATACTTGATACTAACAATAATACTGATATGATACGGACACGTTACTGACCATGACACTTACATGATACTGACCATGATATTGACATGTTACTGACCATGACACTGACATGATACTGACCATGATACTAACATGATACTAACCATTATACTGACATGTTACTGACCATGATACTAACCATGACCCTAGCCATGATACTGACATGTTTCTGACCACGATACCGGCGTGATTCTGACCATGATACTGACCATGATACTGACATGATACTTACCATGATACTGACATAATACTGACCATGATACTGACATGATACTGACCAAGACACTTACATGATACTGACTATGATCATGGTCATTAACATTTCAGTATCATGGCCAGTATCATGGTTAGTATCATGTCAGTGTCATTATTATGAAAAATCAGTTTTTTCGTTATGCGCTCCTTTTTTTTTTTAGATGATTATTACATTATGAGTTTTTATTACATTTTTTATTACACTATGAGCCCTTATCACATTATGAACCATTATTACACTTTGAGTTGCTACAGTCCTTTTGGGGGTCACGCTGGGCCGTAGTTTTATTTTAAGATTTTAAGATAATGATGATAATCTTAGTGTGGTGAGACGCCTCCTCATCCTGTTTTATTTTGGCTGGACTTCCTGTGTTTCCCTGTTTGGCTGGTCTTGCTTTACTCTTTTACAGAGCTTCCTCCCCTCCCCTGGCGCTGAGGCTGAGTGAGACGACACACCTGCTCCACATCTCCAATCAAGACACTTTAAGAAGCCTGCAGCCCTCAGTCTCAGCGTCTGAGTATTGTCTACCCTTCCTAGCGGTACAGACGCGTCTCCTGGCCTTCCTCTTTGTAAGAGTATCTGTAACTTTGAAAAAAAGCACATTTTCACAGTAACTGAAGGGCTGTAATTCATGTTTGTTTTCAGGTAACTCCAAAGAGTCAGACACCCAAAATGACTTGAGAGGAGCCCAAAGATGACGACCAACCCCATGATGCAGAAGAAGATTGGATGAACGAGACGACATGGAGAAGTAAAGTAAGTAAAGTTTGATGAATGTGTCAGGTATCATTAAATTGTTGTCTTGGTGTGCTGCTCTATTGACCTACTTATGATGAATATTTAGTTGGTAGGTTATTGTGTAGGTTTACATTAGGCTACATAATTAACACTTGCAGTAATTTATTTGCTAAATGACAAACAGGCAAAAGTAGCCCTGTGCCTTGTTAAAATATAACCAAACAGTCTTATTCATATTGTTGGTCTCTTTTTATCTACCAATTGCAGCATAATGCCGAGAAAGGAGAGGAGAAGAAGGAAAAAGAAAGGGAGCTACAGCAGGCAGCCCAGGGGAGCAGCTCTCTACTGTCCTGGATAAAAACATCCACCAGCATCAAGGAGGAAGAGGAATATGAAGATAAAAGGTCAGAGTCAAGAGTCATGTTCACCGTTTCGGGCATTTTAAAGCTCAGATTTTGAAGTTGAACTGTTCCTCTAATTTTACTGAATTATCTTAAAAGTTGTCCACATTTTATTTGAACTACACAAAGTGGTTTGGCTGGACTAAATTAGGCATTAAGCTATTTAAGCTCATTATATTATTTTGTACCAACAAGTTATTTCTATGTTAAAAGACTTGCAGTTATCTTGTATTTACCTTAATAGGCTATATTCAACCTTAAAAAATAGACTATTACTGAAACTGTCATTATTCTATTCTAGGCAGCTACAGCAGGGAAGCAGTAGAGCAACGATGAGTCCATAGCAGCACCAAGTCCATGCACAGCTACAGAATCAGAAGTGCTGTCTGATGACAAAAAGGCATGATGTAGCAGCTATATGTGAAATATTAAAATAAAATATATTAAAATGAAAACCAAGTTTCAGGTCTGTCTAAATCCACCATAGTGATAGATAATCTATTATTGTAGCTTGTAACTTGCTTAAAACTTCTCCATGTGAGTTCACTCCAAAGAAATAAAACAATAGTTATTGACTCATCAGTGCTATCGTGTGAATTTGTACCAGTTCGAAGGTCAAGTAATTTTATAAAGATATTGACATAGATAAATATGCAATTACATTCAACATGTGCCTGTAATGTTCATTATTTTTTTTAAATCTCACACTGCTATAATAAGGCAGCCATCAGTTCTACATGCTGCATAAAGTGCCCTTACTTTTCACTGAGCACCTGCCCCCCAAAATGTCTGTGCACGCCACTGGGTGTACTGATACAAAATTGTTTTGTGAATCACATTCTAAGTAACTGCATTATTATGATCTAAAAATAAGAGTAAAGTGGGAAATTTATGTAAAACCTCCATATTAATTGACTAAATTAAATTTTTTAAGAGGAATTTTTATGTAGCTGATATCTTTATTCACATATCTGTATGAGAGTAGAGTTATAAATCAGTTCTATGTCATGCCAATATCACTGTAGGATAAAATTAATTCTCATCTTGTATAATAAGTCTCAGTCTTATCTTAACCTACCATAAGCAGAGCACCTTTCAGCATTTTGAAAATGAGGGTGGCACAGAAGAAACCTTCTTTCTAAAAAGGCAGAAACCTGGAGCAGACCCGGACCCCTGCTAAACAGCCATAAGAGAGAGGGACAAAAACAAAAGAAAAATGGTTCAAAGCTCCTATGCATCCCTGGGTCTACCAGAGGCTTATCTTGAACACATATAGTTCAAGAGTAAAGTCAATTGTTTTTCTGATTGGAGCAGCTGTTCCAGCTCAAAGGCCACTGGGACACATTGGCCTATCAAACCAATCAGACTATCAGTGATTGTACACAGGTGCTTTAAGGTAACCTAAAATTGGCCTGGCAAGCTGCTGTGATGTTGAAACTACAAACTTTTTCTCCATGTGCATGGTGTATGTAGAAGCTACAACTATAACTCTCCATATATTCGTTCAGTCAACATTTTGCAAAATGGGTTTCCCAAGTGACTCTACAAACAACTGCAGAAACTGCAGCCTGTGGAAACACAGTCACTGATTGGCCCGGTTATTTTCTGATTTCTAATACACGCTCCCAATTGGCTGAAGTCCAGACTGTTGTGGGAAGGAACGGCAAGTGATTCACGCAACTGGACGGCCCAGCCAGGCTAACTCTTTGTCATTATTACTGTTTTTAACAGTGTGCCAAAAGCTAAATTTATCTTCGTTCAGAGATTTGATAGAGAGCAAATTTAGTAAAAGTTTCACAGTTTGACTGACTCTAAATCCTCAAAGATGAAGATGCAGTTCATAGTACATTGAACTGACCAGTGGCCGTCCACACATGCATGTTTAGGGTCCGTCATGTGAGAGTGATTCACCCAACTACATTATAAACACTCATATGTATGTATATTTACCTCCCTTCATTTGAAGTCTAGGGAAACAAACAGCCACAGAGGACAAAGGCGGAGTGTTTAGTTTCTTAACCCGGAGCTAGCAGAGAATCTAAACCAGCTGAAGAAAGAGTTCTGGGTATTAAAAGAGTCAAAGTGTTAAAAGAGCGAAACGAAGCAGATTTAAACATTTGGTGAAATGATCCTACCTCCATGAGTGGATGTGCAGGTTAACGGTAACTGTGGTTCATTTTGTTTTTGGTTTGCCTGTTGTCCTATTTGCTGTATTTCTCCTTCTCTCACAGAGACGACAGGAGCAGTACACCTGTCTAATCTCTGATCAGATGAACAACTGAGGCAGAGAGGGGTTTGCAGGTTTAGAGCTGCTTCAGTATCACAGAGTCAACCTTTACTTGATCCATCAGTTATATCAAAGCAGTTTATTCTCTCAGTCTGTTGGTTTGTTTTTCCTTTCAATGAGAGTAGTAACAGCTTGGTGGCTGTCTAACATGAGTCTGGTCCTACCCAAGGTTTCTGCCTGTTAAAAGGAAGTTTTTCCTTCCCACTGTCACTCATGTTATATGGTATGGGTCAAATCTGTCCCATCTTAGCACTGGGTCTTAATAGTTCATCAAACAATGAGCGCGGTCTAGACCTGCTCTTTTTCTTTGGAAAGTATCTTGGGATAATGACTGTTGTGAATTGGTGCTATATAAATAAAATTTGATTGATTGATTGAGAGTGAATTTGAGTTTTACAGTATGTGTTCTCAATTCAACTATGACAGTTACACTTATTATTTAGTGCTTCATACTCTCATAAGACTCCTTTTTGATCTCAAGTCAGCACCGACTATTTTTAAAAAACAGCAAATGTTAAAGGGCTCTATTTACTGACTTTGTTAAGGTCTGTCTCTCCCTCATTGTTTAACTCTGGTGAAGCCCAGTACCCTGCAGCATGAGTGATATTTGATATCGCTCCTCTGATTTCCCTCCTCTCTCCTCAATCCTCTCTCCTCTAACCCAAGTTCAGGGCTTTGAACATCACTAACTCAACAATATTTGAAAAATATTAAATGTCTTCTGACATATTTTCCCTCTTGGCTGATACTGCTTCAATCAGAGTATATCAGATTTGGTTAAATTAAGTGGAAGAGTCTGTCCAGTCTGCTGAAAATCAAATCTATCTAAACTTACATAGCCTCACTTCAGAAAAATACAGTTTATCCCTTTAAGACCCGACTGTATTACCAGATAGCACCAAAGCAAGCAGGTCCACATCAAACTAGAATCACAGAGAAAGTGTGTAAATGATGAAAATGCTGAAAATAACAGCAGAATAGAATATTAAATAATACCAAGAACAAAATAAAAAATAATCAACTAAGAAAGAAATAAAAGGAGACAAATATAGCAGGTTTGTGGCTGTTATTTTAATCAAAATATCTTAATTAGATGTTGAAGGTGGAGAAACATGTGAGACCTCAAAACAGCAGTTTTATATTTCAAAGGATTGTTCATTTGTTTCAGTATCCCTCCATCACTTCTCCCTCTGCTGACCCTGTGTCTGCCAGTAGGTGGCACTCTTGCTCAATGTAAAAAACCCTCTCTAAAAACTGACTTTCCATGACAGAGAGGTAACAACGGGAAACTTTTTATAGAGGCTTTCACATGGCTGCGTAAGCTGAGTCTGTGTGAGAGAGTCGAGCCTCTCTGGCTGCCACCGTTAATGGGAGGCAGATGGAGCTGGCTCGCACGCCGCGCACTAATGAGGGAAACGTGAAATCAGTGGATGTTTCACACAAGCAGGCACTCTGCATGCTGATTGTATATTTGACTCTGTCGCTGTCAAACAGTCAGGAGGGGCTGATCGGGTTATTGGGCTCAGGGTAATGCAGTCTGACGTTCAGAGGCTGTGAAGGAGTCTGGATTTAAAACATTTCATCTGTCACAAAGTTTGCAGAGTTTTCAAAAGACATATTCTTACTTTTAAGCACCATCAGCCTGTATTTTATAGTATACACTTGGTTATCTGTATTTCCACGAAAATAGCAGCAGTCAGAGGGTTCAGAGAAATGTGGAAACATGCACATGTTGTCTGTAGTTTTGGCTGATTTTTACAGCCCTCTGTGCAGTCCGAATGCGGATTAAACTGAGCCACATTCAAGAGGCAGCGCTCCATAAAGAGTTTTACAGAAATGTTTCAGAGAGCAGGAACAAGTCAAACATTTTTCTGTGAAGGGCTGAGGAGGGAAAACCCTTACAGAAAACGAATGCTAGAAGCACTGAACGGGTTTTCACACCTCTGGGTATCCAAGACCAAACCAGAGGGGGTTTTAGGTCCACCGTGACAATGCTCTAAATAAGGGGCTTTTAAGGCTGCCTGGAGGAGAGAGGATCAAAGAGGTAGAAGGGAAATCAGATGATCGATAGGGAAGGATGCACAAAAGTTTCCAGGTCCTAAAATGGACCCTGCAGCAGATCCAACTCCCCTGAAACCTAAAAACATTTTAGTAACAGAGAAGAGACAGAGCTCCAAACAGTCGCCAAGGACTGCCTGATCAGAAACATGCGGTAACATTTGGAATGTATGTGATGAAGTAGGATTAAAGATTTGTTTGACATGAGTATGAACAACAAAATCTGTAGTTCAACTTTCATAAAATCAATTTAAACACAGCAACACTCTCAGTCACACTCAAGTAATAAGACACGCCATCTAAATCATTGAAACAATGCAAATATTTCCTCTATTTTACGAGTTAGTCTATCCGTCAGCGAAAAAGACATGTCACATCTACAGTCACATTAATAGTTTATACATAAAGCTGGAAAGTTACATGATTTCTGTTTCTGTGGGTCAAATCAGAGGTCGAATCACATATAAACTCATTAGATTAGGTATAAATTTAGCCAGTTACCACATGTTACTCCTGTCTATAGCAAACTCTAGAGAACTATAAGACATGACTCGGGCTGTGGTAATCAAATATCTTAGTATTTGAGTATTCTGACAGTTATTATAACAAAGAAGTGGTGATGTGAAGCGTCAGAGCCAGCAGGGCAGAACAGTGCACTGTGTGTGTGTGTGTGTGTGTGTGGACTGTTGTGTGTTTACAGCCTTGCCTCTCATGCTTCAACACTGATTTAGGCCCATTCTCAAACCGCTCCCTACACACTTGCCATATACACTCTCCCTCTGTTTGCGCATCCCTGCTGAGGCTCCGCCATATTGAAGGTCGTCCCAAACCACAGTGAGGAGGGCCAGTGGTAGTGCGCCGGCAAAAATGGAGGAGGAGGAAACAACATAAAGGTATAAGTTCCGTATGTGTCCACCTTTGTCTTACTGACAAAAAAAATCACAAAAGACGTGGTTTGGAAAGATCAAACGGAAGTCGGAAGTCTTACTCTGTGCTGACATTTGTTTTGATTGTGCAGGCATGTCAAATAGTAAAGGGGTTCAAAGACCTTTAGGAATCACTAAAAATCAGAAGTGTAA